GATAGGGTATGTAGTCTAGCTGCATGTCCAAGGAAAAGATGAAGCTGTTTTGATAATATCCGTACATGTTTGCCTCAGCTGAACAGCCAACAGTCTTAGTTGGCTAATGAAGTCCAAGTGGTATGAGGCAAGGGAGTGAATGTACCTAAAGGTTAGCAACCATCTGCCTATTGTTTCTACAGTGAATTATCTGAAGAAGTGAAAATGAGGGAATTTCAATGAAGCATAGCATTGTGATTTTTGATCAGATAATCTGATTAAAAAATAATCTTAGGGTTCCTTTGGGTAATTTAATTTGAATTATCATTCAAAAATTCTTATGTATTCATTTATTTCTTTAACAAACATTTGCTGAATGTTGGAATTTTATTCCTGTATCTATCTTGATTCCCCATGTTTTTTCTTTTAATAGTGTTGTTGTTAACAACATTGAATAAGTTCTGACTCAGCAACCTTGTATAGGGTTTCCTAGGCTGTAAGTCTTTGAGAGAGCAGAAAGCCTTATCTTTCTCTGTGCTTTTAATAATAAGTTATTATAAAATTAATTTATAATCATGGATGCTTGTAGTAAAGGATAGACAGTGAATGGTTTTTGTTTTGTTTTTTAAGCCTAAAAAGTCATGATAGTGTACTGGACTACAAGCTGGGCTGCTTACTGCAAGGTCAGCAGTTCAAATTTGCTAGTCACTCATGGGACAAAGATAAAGGCTTCCTGCGCCTGTAAAGATTTACAGCCTCAGAACCCCTGTACAGGGTTGCTATGAGGCAAAATCGACTCCACAGCATTGAACAACAACAACAACAACAACAACATGATACTGCTGGTCTCAGAGATTGAAACAACCAAAACTCTAACTTGACTGACTGAAAGCATATGCAATATAGGGAGTTGAATATAATAAACAATCACTTTGGGAAAATATTACTTGTTTTTTTCTATAGGCTTGCTAACTTGTTTAACCTAGTTTTTTCTTCAAGTAGAAAATGTTCAAACAATGTTTGAAATGCTTTGGTTTCCTAGTAGTTGTAGGTAATGCGTTAGCCTTCTGGTTTTGATTTATGTAATTAGTTAGTAACGCATCTGAATATAGCTATATAAAATGACAAGCCTTCTGATTAATTTTAATCCAATAGAGATATAAATTAGTTAAGTGCCTCTCATAGGCTGATGTTTATAGGTTATGACTTATTCTTGTACTGAAGTAAAAGGAAGATGACAGTAGGTAATACTTAATGTTAGAAGGACCAATGATCTTTTTTGCAGATTTGAATTTATTTTGCATAGATACTTGTAAACATGAGATGATTTGTTTATTTTTATTTTAAATTTTGGCATGGAGTGTGTGTTTTAGTAGCGATGACAGGGTTGATCATTTAATATAATCCCTAAGATGAAATAAATAAAAAAGTTCGAAATGTTTAGAAGAATAAAACTGGGAAGCCCAGAACCTGTATAAAACAGAAACCTGTCAGAGAAAGAAAACTCAAATATTTTCCACTAATAGAAAAAAAGTGGTCTCCTGGCGTGGTACGTACTTTAGGATCCACACTGGACTGCTAACTGCAAGGTCGGTTACTAGCTGCTCCTCAGAATCCCTAAACAGGGTCACTGTGAGTCAGAACTGACTTGATGGCACTTAACAACAGCAATAGAAAAGTAGTAAGATTACATCCCCTGTCAAAGGCAGAAGGTTTGCAGAACCTGGAAAAACAAGGCAGGCCAATCGAGTCCAGGCTCTCTCAGGTTTCACTCTATATGAAAATATTCAAACTTGATTTTCTAGAAGTAGTGGATTTTCGACTCAGGAGTCAGATTTTACTAACAAGATGCATGAGAGGGTTTCAAAAGTTTGTGGAAAGTGGAATAAAAAGATAATAAATCCCCTTGGTATGTGTTAATGGGCTACACATCTTTTCTTGTCCAAGGAAAAGTAGCAGTGGAATTAAGAATTGGATATGTGAATTTTGTAATCATTTTGAATAGTGTTTAAATCCTGTATTATATATTGAATTTACAGCAATTGTTAGAGAACATATGGAACAATGAATGTTCAATCCAAGACAAGTACCTGTGTGATGGAGTCGGTGTGTTTGGAGTGGTGCTCCTTGTACAAACAATGAGTTAACCCACTGGGTCACTAGCTCCTCTCCTAAGGTCTCCACTCTCCAGACAGCTAATACTAGATTCACTTGTATGCCCGTAAACTTTGTAGATCTAGAAACATGTGGTATATACTCTTTTGTGTTTGCTTCTTTACCTCAGTATCATGTGTGTGAGATTTGTCCATGATGTAAAATGTGGTGATAATTTGTTTATTCTTTCTTTTATATAGTACTCTGTTAGATGAAATGCTACAATGTATTTATCCTTTCTGTTGTTAATGGCCATTTGGTTTGTTTTCAGGTTTCTATTATTATTAATAAAGAGCTCTGGTATTGTAGTGGTTACAAGTTGGGCTGCTAATCTCATGGTCAGCAGTTCGAAACTACCAGCAGTTCCACAGGAGAAAGATGAGGCTTTTTTCCTCCTGTAAAGATTTACAACCTCAGAAACCCTACACAGGGTTGACTCTACTACACATAACTACCACCATTATTACCAGTGATGTTGGTTTGAACATTGTCTTAAATGCCTTTTGGTGAACATACATTTCCTAGGAATGAAATTGTTTTATTATTGGGTTGACAAATACTCAGTTTTACTAAATAGTTTTCAAATTGATTTTACCAATTTATACTCCCTCTAGCAGTATGTGACAGTTCCAGTTACTATAACTACCTTAGAACTTGTGTTTCACATTTTAGCAGTTCTGTTGTTGTGTAATGGTGTTGAGTTTTAATATTCATTTTCCTGGTGGATTAATACAGTTGAGCATGTATTTTACCTGACAGTTTGATGCCTTTTTTGTCAAATTAGCTGTGACTAAATTACTTCCATAAGAACATATGAGGTTTTTGCTTATTTGTTTGGAACAGTAAGAATTACCTGCTGTACTTGTGTTTTCCACAATTGAAATCTTAAAAGATACCCCAGTATTTAAAACAGATGAGAGAAATATTTCTTTCTTTTTTTTTTTTAATGATTTATTGTGAATTAAGAATATTTCTTTTTAAAGGAGTGTTTCTTGAGAGACAGTTGTTGTTGTTATGTGCCATGGAGTCATTTCCGACTCATAGCGACCCTGTACAGGGTTTCCAAGGCTGTAAATCTTTACGGGAGCAGAAAGCCTCATCTTTCTCCCGCCTAACAGCTGGTAGTTTCTAACTGCTGCCCTTGCGGCTTGCAGCTCGATTCGTAGCCACTACACTACCAAAGCTCCTTTTGAGAGACAGTATAGCGTGTTAATTAAGAGTAGATTCAGAAGCCAGACTCTTCCATTAGGAATCCTTGCTTTGTCATTTACAAGCTATGTGCAAGTTACATATTCCTCATGTATACAATGAACGTAGTAATAATACTTAGATTATAGTGCTTTGGATAGTACATAGTAAACACTATGCAATGTTAACTGCTATTAGCAGATAGTAATATGAATTTGCTTTATGAGTTCATACCAATTCAGTTGGTGAGAATAATGAGGCTGTACTGTTGAGCACATATTTGAGAGTATGGGTTATGCAGTATTTAATTTTTTGTTTTGGTTGCATATTATCAAGAAAACCTCGATTCACACATAGGAGTAATTGAAGATAGATGTGGTTCATCTAGTAGCCTCAGAATTTAAACTTTTAGATGAATTTAATTGAAAAGAAGTAGTAGAAAATGTTTACTTTGAAATTGTTACTAAATATAACTTGTTTGGATTTTTTTTTAAATCATAGAAGAAAAAAAAAAAAACCCACAAAAAAATCATTGAAGCCATGCCAAAAACTGCGATGGTCTCAGCATTGATTGTATTACAACACAGCTGCATTCCAAGTTTGCTTATTGCTGTACAGCCACAGGATGAGATGAGCGGTCGGTGTACTTGACCCTCGTCTGGCACAATAAAGTGTGCTGCATGTAGACCCAAATTAGAAACACATCAAAGCAAACAGTCAGAGCTATGGTTTTCCTAATTAATGATAATGGTTTCAAGATATTCATGAAAGGGAGGCATGTGAAGCTGTACAAACCAAAGATGAGTTTACCTTGCAATATACAAGCTGTTTTATTTTGTGTCTGGTGTTGTTAGTAGTAAGCATGTAATACTTTATAAGTGGACTGTTACCGTTCATAGTAGGTTTCCACTTACACAGTTATCTGTAGCAGCCAGTGATTATCACTTAACAAATAACCTTGCATGTCTGCAGCTCGTTGACCCCTTACACCAAGAGAACTTTCCATTTTCTACTAGCCTAAGAAATTCCACCTGACTGTACTAAATACTTGAGAAGCTCCTCTAGCTGCAGCCTCCCATGGCTTCTTACCCAGGATGGCCAGTCTCCTCTCTGTCGCAGCACCAGCATGGTTTTGGGTTCCTGTCTCTTGGCTAACTAACAGTGTCTGGATCTCTTTCCACTATCTGTTTTGAATGCTGAAATATCTTTGTGGTCCTTGTGGATTCTTTTTCTCTTAATCTTTTAAATGAATTGTTCTTTTTAATGAAATCCTTTCCTGATATTCTCTGTCTTAGGATCTATTTTGGTATCATAAAGTTGTACTCTATGAACACAAATAAATTCAGTGTCACTCACAAAATCCATCAGCAGAGGGAGCTAAATAAAAAGATGAGCCATTGAAATTGGCAAGACCCAAGTCGAAAATGTACTTATAGACAATGATGTTTTCACATATTTCCCAGGAGTCAAAAAGAACTTTAATAATGTTAGAAATCAATTATGAAACTCTGACTTATTAAGGATGCTGAAATTGAGGTCACTAGCTTGGTGAAGAATTTCATATGGAGCTCCGAGTCCTAATGTTGCTAAGGATTATGGTTAGCCATTTCAAGTTTTAAAGATGAACTCTCTCAAATTTCTTGTTTTGTTTTGATTAAGTCTATGTATCTTAATTTCAGTTAGCAGACTTGAAGAAAGAGAAGCAGAACTGAAGAAGGAATATAATGCATTACATCAAAGACACACTGAGGTGGGTTTCCTGGTTGTTCATACCATGCAGATATTGAGATAAAGAAATCACCTGAGAAAGTAGGTCTTATATTTTCACTGAAACATCAATGATGATAATTTTTAGGGATTATTGCCAAAAACATTAAATTTCATGTGACATTTATCTAGTTATTCAATGTTGGTTTTTTTTTTAAATATGGAATTAACTTTGCACATGGTGAATTAGTGTGCCACAAACTAATTTGATTATTATAAGGTAGTTCCAGTGCTTGGTTTCTTGATTAGTGAAAGTGTACATAATGGTAAGAACAGACCACTGACTTAATCTACTCATATTTTTTTATCAGTGGGTTTTGTGAGGGGTTGTCTTCAATTTAAAGGACTTATTTGCAGTAAGTTTTTAAAGAGCGTAAGCTCATAAATTATGTGTTAAATATGAATGAACTTAAGACAGGTTTTCTGCATGTTTCAGTATTTTTAATGAACAATTCCAGCACATAATCCCTTCAAAGCAATTTTTTTTTTATCAGAAAATGGATTTGAGGGGTTTCTGGAGTCCTGGTGTGATGCTGTGGGTTAATGTGCTGGACTGCAAAGTCAGTTTGAACTGCAAGGTCGGCGGTTCAAGTTCACCAGCTGCTCCTCGGAAACCTTATACATGGTCACTATGGGTTGGAACTGACTCAACGGCATTTAACAACAACAATCCTCTTTTTATGATTATATGCCAGCCCTATTTATATTGTATCTGTATCATGGATTGAATTGGGCCCCCTCCCCCACCAAAATATGTGTCAGCTTGGCTGACTGTGATTCTCAGTGGCTTGGCAGTTATGTGATGACCCCCATGATGTGACCCCTTTCTCCATGTCCGGTACTCTGGATTTGTGTTTCTAGCCTTCGGGTTAATGCACTGGACTACAAAGTCAGTTTGAACCACAAGGTTGGTCATTCAAACTCACTAAGTGCTTTTCAGAAACCCTATACAGGGTTGCTAGGAGCTCTGGTAGCATAGTGGTTATCAATTGGGCTGCAAACCTCAAGGTCAGCGGTTCGAAACTACCAGCTGCTCCGTGGGAGAAAGATGAGGCTTTCTGCTCCCGTAAAGATTTACAGCCTCGGAAACCCTGTTCAGGGTCGCTATGGGTTGGAAACCACTCCACGGCACATCACAACAACAACATACAGGGTTGCTATGGGTTGGAACTGACTTGATGACACTTAACAACAGAAACTGTGAGACTAAATTTCTGTTTGTTAAAACTATCCACTTCTGGTATTATAACAGCACTAGAGAACTAAGACAGTATGTTTCTGTCTCCTTCGTGTGAAAATTGTTTTTGTATATCATGAGTAGTCTGGGATTTACATACCCAAATCAACAGAATTTCTATAGACACATGTAAGCCTGGTTATATGGACAGCTAGTTCCGCTCTCTTTCCTTTTCTAGTCTTGTCCTTCTGATACTCTAGTCTTTATAGTTCCCAATTTTCTTTCACTACTTTGTGTTATCTTTTTGTTGCTGTTGAACACTTTACTTTATTGTGGTTTGTATGATTGTGTGATCTCTTATCCCACTTCATTGCTTTGATAGAAGATAAAACCCCTCCCCCCACTCAATCTCATTTGCATATCCTTGGTATTTTGTAGGGAGGTGGGAGGTTGGAATTTATTCCTGTCTCTTAGTCCTGAGGAGCTCTGGTAGCATAATGGTTACGAATTGGGCTATGAACCACAAGGTCAGCAGTTTGAAACTACCAGCTGCTCCACAGGAGATGAGGCTTTCTGCTTCTATAAAGATTTATAGCCTCAGAAACCCTGTTCAGGGTCGCTATGGGTCGGAACCGACTCGATGGCACTTTACAACAACAACTTAGCCCTGACACATGAAGCTTAGATATTGCTATCTTAACTTACATAGCCACATATGAAGTATGACATGTCATAGAAATATCAGCAGAGGGAAAGTTGATCACAAAGGCCTGGAACTTTAGAACTGTGGAACAACAGGAACAGCGTATGCAACAGCTGTTTCAGTCTGTAAAGAAGACCTGCATATTAATTAAATGGTATTGGTGGATAGTAAGACGGTTATAGGAGTCCTGTGGTGTGATGCTGTGGGACATTGCGCTGGACTGCAAAGTCAGTAGTTCATTTCAAGCTCACCAGCCGCTCCTTGGAAACCCTGTACAGAGTTGCTATGGGTCGGAACCGACTCGATGGCACTTAACAACAACAATAACAAAGACTGTTAAAGAGTCCTAGTGTGGTGCTGTTGGATAAGCACTAGTGAGGTGGGCAGATCAAACGCACCACTGCTTCTTGGAAACCTGATACGGGCTCGGTTTGAGTTAGGACTGACTCGACGATAATTGACAGCAACTGCAAGGCTGTTAAGTAACACTGGGGGCCTTAGTGGGTTATGTGTTAGGTAACACTGGGGGCCTTAGTGGGTTATGTGTTAGGTAACACTGGGGTCCTTAGTGGGTTATATGCTAGATAACATTGGGGTCCTTAGTGGGTTAGGTGTTAGGTAACAGTGGGGTCCTTAGTGGGTTGTGTGTTAGGTAACACTGGAGACCTTAGTGGGTTAGGTGTTAGGTTAACACTGGGGACCTTAGTGGGTTATGTGTTAAGTAACACTGGGGGCATTAGTGGGTTATGTGTTAAGTAACACTGGGGGCATTAGTGGGTTAGGTGTTGGACTGTTAGCTGCATGTCAACAGTATGAACTCACCAGCCACAGCACAAAGATGAGACTTTTGGCTCCCACAGACTTATGTAACCTTGGAAACCTATATACAGGTTTGCTACGAGTCCGAACTGGCTCAATGGCATGCAGCAACAATAAGAAGAAAGCTGTTAAAACTGATGATTTAAGTCCTATTGTTGGCTATGCTGGGAATGGTAAATTGAAGAGGAATGGTGCTGCATTCATCATCAAAAGAATATTTCAAGAGCTATCTTGAAGTATACTGCTGTCTGTGCCATACAAGTAAGACCAGTTAATACCAGTATTACTCAGATTTATGCACCAGCCACCGAAACCACTGATGATGGACGAAAGTGAAGAATTCTACCTACCTCTTTAGACTACAACTGATCAAACATGCATTCAAGATGTATTGATAATTACTGGCGATGGGAATACAATGCTTGGGAAGAGCAGCAGTTGGAAAATATGACCTTGGTGATAGAAACAATACTGGAAATCGAACGACAGAATTTTATAAAAGTCAGTGACTTCTTTATTGCAAATAGCTTTTTTAAAAAAAAATTTTTAATGCGTTTGAGTTATGGTTTTGGAGAAGAGTATTGAAAGTACTGTGGACTGCCAAAAGGAACAAACCAATCTGTGTTGGATGAAGTACAGCTAGAGTGCCCCTT